TAATGCAAATGGAAAAAATATAATCATGAATAAAATCTAGATGTAATTATGTAAGCTTGGTGAATTTACAAGTAAATATTTTTTTACTAATAAAATTAGCATGTGAGTATATGTGACACCTAAAATTAAACATCATAACGAGACAAATATTCATAATTCATAACCCCAATGTAATGTAATATACATTAATTACTATAATACACTATCAAATATTATAAGTTATCGTCACTAATAATTAATAATTACACATTACCTAATTAATAAATTGTATTTTATCGACATTGTGGTGTATTGTTTATGATAGTATCACGGTTTGTTGTTGATGTATAACGCATTCAACTACCTAATGCCTAGTGGATATTGAATGTTCTGATATGATTATTATTTTGGAATTTATTATTATATAGGTCAATTTTTTCTAAAAATATTTTTTGTTCATATACCTAGACTGACATATCGCCTCCGCTCAGAATCGTTTTTCTTATACAATGATATATCATTGGATTCAAATTTAATACCATCCATTATACAGTGACCTACTTATAACCTAATGTACAGCAGAATCGACATACACTTACCCGCCCTTTTAGATTCTGAGTGAAACGATGAATGTATTGATTTTACAATGATGTGTGTTTTTTTTTTATTTTTTTTGTGTCTGTGTACACGATAAGTAGTCGAAATAATGCTTCGATTTTCGACTTCAGTATCTTGTTCGATTGGAAAGTGAATATCGTTGGTGCATTGGGAGGTCAAAATTTAAAATTCACAGTACTTTTCAAAAGCGCCAAGAAAAACAAAAGAAAAATTAAGGAAAAACGGGAATTTTTACGCAAAATCAATTTTTCAGAAAATTGAATTTGGTTTTTGGTGTAACTTTAAAACAAATGACCGTAGATACATGAAATTTTCACTGGTTGTTTATATTTGCATTTTCTATACACGATAACATTTTCAAAATATTTTGATTTATTTTGAACAGTTTAGGGACATTTTCATTTTTCATTTTTTTTTAGTTTTTTTTCTAGAAATATCAATAAAATTTTATTTGTTGGTTGCGAAAACTTGAAAATTTAATTGAAGGCTCCTAATATATTGTTTCAAAGGCAGATGAAAAATATTAAAAATCCTTAGTCACAATTTTTTTTATAAGCATTTAAAGTTCAAAAATTGACAAAATATGGAAAAATCACAAAAATTAGCAAATTATTTTGAGTTAAGAATTCGTAAAAATTTTTCTTTTTAAATCTAAGATTTGAAAATGTAATACAAGATTACTCTTAAGTTTGTCTACCTTTATCAATAAAAAAATCTCTACCGGACAGTCAAATTAAATTTTTATGAGCGTATGAAATTCAAATTTTTACATCATTGGATGTTCACTCGATTTCTCATGTAGCGATTTCCTTATTTTGTTGTTATTCATAAACGAATAACTATAGATACATGAAAATTTCACTGAATGTTTATATTAGCATTTCCTATACACCATTCAATTTTGAAAATATTTTGACTCTTTTTGAGCTGTTTACGGACATTTTCAGTTTTCAATTTTTTTAGTTTTTTTTTCTATGAATATCAATAAAGTCTTTTATCTGTTGGGCCAAAAAGTGTAAAAATTTAATACAAGGCTCCTGATATATTGTTACAATATCAATTGAAAAATATTAAAAATACATAGGCACAATTTTTTTTTATAAGCATTTAAACATCGAATTTTGACAGAATTTTTCAAAATCTCGAAAATGATTAATCATCGTAATTAATAAATTATAAAATGTTCAGTTTTTATAGCTAAGGATTGAAAATGAAAAACAAGATTCCAAGTAAGTAATTAATTCTCTTACCGAAAAATCTAAAAATTATACAATCACAGTTTATTTTTATAGTAATTTTATGTTCAAATTTGGACGAAATTACATATTAAAAAACCTAGTTATTTTGTTGTGATTATATAATTTTATTCGTGGGTACCTACTTGAAACTTCTAAAGTGTACTATTATATATCTATGATAGTATCAGGGTTTGTTATTGATGGTGATGTATAACATGTTATAAGTACCTAATGGATATTGTGATAATGTGATATGATTAATTTGGAATTTATTATAAGTCAATTTTTTTTTTAATACCATAGATATGTATATAATTTGTCTATAATATATATATATAATAGAATCGTTTTTCTTATACAATGATATTGTATCATTGAATTCAAATTTAAAAGCATCCATTATACAGTGACCCACTTGTAACCTACTGTACAGCAGAGCGACATCCACTTACCCACCTTTTTTTACTTGTTGTTTTGGAAAGTGGGCAGCCAGAAAGCCAGCCCTTTTACAAAAATTACGTTAAACACAGTGGCAGAACATACAAGTAATTTTTGAATATTTTTGAATGAATCTGGTAGGTATTTCGAAACGTAACTAGAATTTGGGTTGGCAAGAGCAATTTGTTTAATTTGGCGTACTCGCTGTATTGTTCTTTTTAAAGCTCTCGGGTTCGGTAATTGGGCTGATACTGCAGCAGGTAACTAAATACAATTTATTATTAATATACAGTTATAAATATAATTAAAAAGGTGCTCTGCTGTACTGTAGGTTACAAGTGGGTCACTGTATAATGGATGGTATTAAATTTGAATTCAATGATATAATATCATTGTACAAAAAAAACGATTCTGAGCGGAGACGGTATGTCAGTCTAGGTTTAAGACATATTATATACATATCTATGGTATTAAAAAAAATTGACCTATAATAGGTACCTATAATAAATTCCAAATTAATCATAAAAATAAAATATTTATGTTTGATGTGCATATTTTGGTGCTTTTAATGGCTAAAAATACATATTTTATGTATTTAATCACATATTTTGATTGTATATTTCGTAATTTTTTAGTGCATAAACGCATGCATATTACAGTAGTTTTAAGTGCATAAACATCCGAGCCCTATTTATATTTTATAATATTTTATTTATTGTATTATTACCTGTGAAGAGCCTTCTCCAAGAATGGCACGAGTTGTTAAACTGTTTTCTTTAGCAATAGTTTTCATTTCTTCGACTGTTTTCTTTGCTTGAATTTTAGCAACGTCTGATAAATGACTATGGTCTACATATTTAAATACAATATCATCTAAAATTATATATATATAGTTTAAAATTAAATATTAATAACTTAATAATTAATTTGTACGTGTTCTGAATACTTTTTATTTTTAAGACTTAGTATTTTTATAATTGTATAATTTTTAATATAATTTATAACTTTTTATGATTGTTTTAAATAAATTTGTGACAAGACAATTAAACGTATTTACAATACTACATAATATTACAAGTATTTTCTCGTTTAAAAATTATTCTTATTTACCAAAACTGGTGTGTACTATTAGTACTTACTTTCTGATACATGGACCCGTCCTGGGCACTTTTGATTTCCTATGATTTCCTATTGTCTATGAATATAATTTTTGTATACTAATAATTTGTTCCCCTTTGATTAGTTATATATTGTAGTACAGACATTAAGTTGTTGAATGTTGAAAGACGAAAGACTTTACGTAGGTATACTAACCACACAATTATTTTATACTAGTTACCTACCTATATCAGACTATCTCGATTATCTAGACACCAATAGATAATAACTTCTGCTGCTGTATCGGTAACACGGAAATTCTTTCAATTAGATATTTTTAAATTGCGCTGAATTGTCGCACGCTAAAATGTAGTGAGCGCTGATTTGACGATCGCCAAGATGTCATATGCACTTAATTGTTGTGCGTTATAATTACCACGCTCAATAAACGTGCGCTTAATTTACCATGCTCAAATGACGGTACACCGAAATATATTATTGTATCGTTCACTGTTCACATATCTCATAAATGGATTGTTTTTCAATTTCATCCATGTGTTCTGTTACTATAAACTGTTTTAATCGTGCCATTCGCTCATTGTGATCATCTGTCGATTCTACTGTATATATTTCGTATTCGGTATCATAGAGTATTTTGTTTAAATCAGTTTTAGATATATTTTTCGTTTCTTCTGATATATTCATCTTGCTAACTATTGCCCTACCATTATTAACGATGGACACTGTACTACTGCAAAACACGTCTTTTACTAGTTCTTGTTTATGAATATATAAGTCCTTACTTTCTACTAGTGGGTCGGCTATTAGTATTCCTACAATAGTTTCGGCACGCGGATTTAGTTTAATGGTTTTCTCGGCTTCTCCGAATGTTGTCGGTGAACGCGAGGTCGTTTGAATAATTAATTTGTTGTTCGCAACGTCGACTATTATTTTCTGACAAGAACTCGTTACCTAATATTCCGTCCTTGGGGATAGGGAATCGAGGACTCACTATATGAAATTCTGTTTTAATATTTTCGTCATTTAGTTTAATTAATATTGACATTTTTCCTATGGTTTGAGTGATGCGTTCGTTTTTTTTTTTCTTAGAAAATTCATTTATTATAATAAATTATACATAGCTCAAAAAGAGCAAATTTACAATAATATAATAATAATATGAATCTATCTACCACCTGTAAGCATGCTTGTGATGATGGTAGAGAGTTACAAAATCTAGTAATTAATACAATAATTGATAAAAATATAAATAAATAAACAAATACATGAATTATATTATACATAAACGATAAACACTAGTCTAAGGCCCGTTCTTACAATGTCCGGTTAAGTGTCGGTTAGCGCTAACCGGAGGTTATACTGACATTTAACTGACAGTTGGTTCTTACATACGTCGGTTATGCAAAAAGTCTCCGGTTACCGGATGTTTTACGGTCAGATTTTTAACCGGCCGGTTATCCTCCGGTTATCTAAAATCTGTCGGTTTGTGTTATCAATAATACTCTTTATCATCATTTTATTATTGATTTTTGTTTTAAATTCGACGTTGGAGTTTTCACGTAGTATAGTGTATACATTTTTGTTATTTTTTTGTTACAATTAACAACTATGAATAGAGTTCTTCATAACTACGGTTTAATCGACCAAGAAAGTGATTCTTCCGACTTTGAAAATGAAATGGCAGAATTTAACGTTGCAATTCGGAAAGAGAAAATTTTTAGAGAACGCAAAAATTACTTCGAGTTATTGGACGAAGTAGAGTTTCAGAAACGATTTCGTTTGAAGAAACGAACAGTTAAGATGATCCTGGAAGAATTACAAGATCAGATAAAATATCCCACCAACAGGTAATTTGACGTACTATTAAAATAAATTAAAGTAACATTTTGTAATCGTGTTAAAAACCAACGTTTCAGAAATAATGCTATCTCTTCAATGACGCAATTATTACTAACATTGAGGTTTTTTGCAACGGGGAATTTTCTCATTACAGCCGGTGACTTTAGTGGTGTTAGCGTTGCAGCTGCTGGACAAATTGTAAAACGAGTCAGTTATGCATTAGCTACAAAAAGTGATAAGTAAATAACTGTACCTATAATAATTAAATAATCCATTTCGTTGATTTACTGCACGTTACACGATGAGTGTACAATATCGTTACTTAATATGTAATACAGTGAGATAATATCCAGTAGCCCAGTACCTCAGTATATATTATAATATTATAGTATATTATACTGGGCTACAGACATCGGAGATAAAAAATTCAAACTATACGATGGGTGTAACCTATTATTTATGATTACTTTTTATTATGATAAAAAATTAAGCTACATCATAATGTTTATACATTATTATCATAATGAGTTACGTCCATCGTATATTTTAAATTTAAAAAAAAAAAACATAATTCAATTTTTTTGAAACAAATTTTAGGTTTAACTATTTTTGAAAACCAAAAAGTTTGAACGAAGACGGTCAGCCAGCCTATGATACTACTAGGCTAGTATATTTGATGATAATATTGTGAATAAAAAAATTTATATATAACCTATTTACGAGAAATCTAAATTTTCAATCCTTAGCTATAAAAGTTAAACATTTTATTAAGTTTTAACTGCAAAATAATTATTACATTTTTAAATTTTGTCAAAAATTGAACTTTGACTGATTATAAAAAAAAAATTGTGGCTATTTATTTTTATATTTTTCAACTGCTTTTGTAACAATATATCAGCAGCCTATATGAAATGCTAATATAAACATTCAGTCAAAATTTCATATGTCTACGGTAATTTGTTTTAAAGTTACAAAAACCAAAATCGATTTAGTCGAAAATCTATTTTGAGTAAATATTTACGTTTTTCCTTAATTTTTCTTTTGTTGTTTTTTCACGGCGCTTTTGACCCCCTAAACTGCCAACTAAATTCACTTTCCTATTAAAAAAAATTTCACTGAAGAAAATTTAAGCACTTTTACTGTCCTAAAAGGTGATGAACCACAAAAAAAAAAACACATTGTAAAATCAATACATTCAATATAAGATAATAGAACCTACCTGTATTTTGGAAAATTGGAGAGGAGAAAAGAATTCAATAGGGTTTTCTTGATCTTTGATGATTTTTAAGAATTATTTGATAGGTATGTATATTAATTATAATTTGTTTTTGTAGATATATAAAAATGCCTAAAACAACAGCAGAGATAATGGAGCTGAAAGTGAAGTTTTATGGATTAGCCCGTTTCCCAAAAGTAATAGGTGCAATAGATTGTACCCATATAAAATTACAATCTCCATCAAGAGAATATGGGGAACAATACAGAAATAGAAAGGGGTATTTTTCCCTAAATTTACAAGCTTTTTTGGCCTGGCTCAGCACATGACAGCAATATTTTTGCAAATAGCAGGCTCAGGGCAAGAATGGAACTTCATGAGTTTAAAGATTGTGTGATTTTGGGAGACGCAGGCTATGCATTATCCCATTACTTACTAACACCTATAGCAAATCCAACAACCAAGGCTGAAAGATTGTACAATGAATCTCAGATTAGGACTCGTAATGTGGTGGAACGGACATTTGGAGTCTGGAAACGAAGATTCCCTGTCTTATTTTTTGGACTCCGTTTGAAAATGGAAACATCAATGGCAGTTATTCAGTCCTGTGCCATACTTCACAACATTGCTCGCTTGGCAAATGACCCACAACCACCAGATGAGGTTGAAAATATCACAGATTTATTAACCAACGAATTAGTGGATATAGAAGATGTTATACAGCCAGAACATAATAATTGTGGTCTGAGAAATGCTCTTATAGCAGAACATTTTGGTCTCATGTGATGCATTATACAAATTTATTTAAATATTCATACAATTTATATTTATTGAAATTTAAAATTTACATTTTACAAATATGGTATAAAACTAATAACATATAAAATTATTAATACTAAATACAAATTATTATGATTGTCGCTAAATGTAATATAAAATGTCTATATTCCCACTCATATATTTGCTCTTTTGTCGTTTATCATACTTATTCATCCTTATTGTAAATAAGAATTAATTATTAACTGCCTACTAATCAAAGCTGGGCAAGTCACTTTTTAAACTAGTTAAAGTTAAATTACTTAAATACTACCAACATTTTTAACTTAGTTAGAGATTAGTTTGGTGAAAATAGTAACTTAAGTTAGAATAGAGTAACTTAAGTTAGTTTTAGAGTAGATGTTTGAAGTTAGGTTTTTTTTAGTTTAAAATATAAATTTAAAAAAAAAACGTTTTTTTTAAATGTAATGTATTACATAAATTAATTATTAAGTAGGTAGGAAGGTAACTAACTTGAATTATTGATGATAAATTTAAAATTTAATTGAACAATTGTTAACTGATAATTTAATAAAATGTTTCAAATAGGTAGGTAATATACTAATATCTTAATTTCTTGGGATATCAGTCATTAGAATATAGAAAGTTCAATAAAATGAAAAATTTAAAAATTCAATAAATTAAAAAAAAACTACAATAATAACTAATTATTTATTATTTTTAACGAGTTAGATTAGATTATTTTACACATTCAATTCAACTAGTGAAGTTGCAAAGTTAATATGAATTAAAACTAACTAGTTAAGTTAGTACCCAGCTTTGCTATTAATATTGGATGCATGTGATGCTTATAATTATCCTGTACCTACCTATATAAGATAATTTATAATCAATTAAAAAACAATATTAAATTATATTGTTAGTATCATGACAAATTAGATAGGTATCATCACAGTTGTACTAGTTTTGCGCAGTAGATACGCATCTCCTTCACCTCCGGCCTATATCGTAATTCTCCACTTCTCATTGGTTGATTTTGTTCTATGTTACATATGTATGTATATGATTAACAGCTAATAAGAAGTGGAGAACTACGATAAAGGTGAAGTAAAGAGTGGAGGATGCGTATCAAAATACTGTGATGATACCTATCTAATTTGTCATGTAGTACTAAGCAAATAATATTTTATTAAGAACAGATAAAGTATTAAATTAAAATTAGCCGTTCAATATTATCGTTTTACATGAAGAATATGTTATGTTTTTAATTTAATAATAATAAATAATAATTTATTTAGCAAAAACAATAACGTTTTACCATGTAAATAAAAAATATACAGGCTATATGTTTGCAAATCCCCTTTAAGCATAAACCTTGTTTTGGGAGGTATATCTGTTTGAGTTCAGTACAATATTAAGTAAGATATTATAGTTAACAATATTAGAGGTTATTTAGAAAATTTTTGTAGAATACTGTGCCGTTTACTTTCCCGTCCACCCCTGACTGCGATAATACATAATTATATATTATACCTACTACATATCTACACATGCACCCAACATTGTACTAACAAAATTATCAATAATTACTTGTTTTAAATCAATTACTTCATACCTCAACTTATCACACATTAATTTGTAATGTGCTCGTTCCCACTCATGTTTTTCTTGAGCTCGCAATTCTTCGGCATTGTGTTTCTCATGAGCCCTTTTCTCTTCATTCACAAAATATTGTGTTTGTTTTTTTATTAAATTCAACTTTTCTAACGAATACTTTTTCACGCTGTCCCCTAAAGTGGTCTTAATATTTTTTTTAAAAGCAAGAGGGGTCATTAACTCCGCACTTTTATTATTTTTCAAAACTTCTGGATTCCACTTGGCCCACATATGTTGTTGTTGCACCGTACCTGGCGTGACAACAGCCATAGGATTATCTACAAAAACGGTTTCAGGATGATCCACATGCTCTACCTGTTAAAAATTTAAAAAAATTAAGGCCTTTTAAGAAAAACGGTAATTTATTAAATAACTTACAGTATCAGCTGGGAGAACTACCACAGGATTATCTACAAAAACAGGTTCGGGTTGATCTACATGCTCTACCTGTTCAAAATTTTAAAAAATTAAGGCCTATTAAGAAAAATTGCAATTTACATAAATAACTCACTGCCTCATCATATGCATATATGAACTCCTCATCTAAATTATGTACTTGACCAATCTCTATGTCCTCTGTATTCACTAACGGTTTCCCTAAAATAAACAACAATATTTCAATATTAATACACTAAAAACTAGATAATTCTAATTTATTTGGCAATGTGATTAGAAAAGAAATGTATTATCATGGCCTGGTGGGCCGCTACTTATGTTTACAAAAATGGGATCATGCCTATCCGCTCCTGTGTATTATAATAATAGTGGTTTCATTAATATTTAATACAAACATTTCAGTAACAAATCGAAGAAAATTATATTAAACCGGTAAAGGTTACCTGTTTTGTCTCCATCAAAAATGTTTTGTAGCCCTACTGCTGATAACCCCATGATTTCAATTAAGACATTATGTGTTGCTGAGGGCGCTACAGTGGAAAGTGCAGTTCCACCTCCTGTTTTGAAAACCTCCTTTTTCCTATCCACTTCCGTCTTCTTGGCTCTCCTTTTCAAGTTCTCATACTTATCCTTTAAATTTTGCACCTGGAAATAGAAATCAATATTGTTTTACTCCAAACTACACTTAAATATTCCTATTTCAAATTAATCACCTGTAAACCGTGCACAATTTTATATTTAAATACCTACACCTTTAAACCTAAGTAAAACTTATTTAATTGCAACTTACTTCTCTTAAACTGCCTGTTGTGGCAGTGAATTGTTCTTGGATTTTTATCCATATAGCAATTTTCGACTGCCAAACATCGTGGTCTGATTTTTTACATTCCAACACGTTAGAATATTTTGCGGCCAACTCGACCAACGTATTCTCTTCCGTTGCAGAGAAATTAGTGCAACGAGGTCTCTTCATATTATTTTTCGACATGTTTTTCAAAATTAAAAAACGAAACAGACACGAATGAAGAAAATATAACAATATAGGTCTATGCACGGACAGACGGACTATGATAGATCTTAGTCCGTGGTCTATGCAATATTATATCGAATTATCTGACTGATAAATGATAACAACAATAATAAATGATAACTCAAGATCGACGCATGCGTAGAACAGTATAATTTGGTCATGCGCGGTTGTTTTGGGAATCACTTGTATTATAACTGACGGTTAGTTATACGATCGTTAATCGAAGGTTGTAAGAACGGACAAACAAAAAAACGGGCAAACATATCAGACCCGTTGTAACCTCCGGTAACCGGTAGTTAACCGACGAAATTACGGTTAGGTAACCGACACTTTACAAACACTTTAACCGGACATTGTAAGAACGGGCCTAAATGAGTTTCTAACCAGTTGAAAATTAATTCTTTGAGATTCGACTTTTTAAATTCCGCATAAATTTATTTTTTGTGTTTCGTCTACTTCTAATTCCTCGCGTAAGCAATTTATTTTGGGTATGTTTACTTGACAACCTGTATCTATCATTAAATATAATTGATTTGTTTTTGCGGCGAATGAATTAAATGTTATATGATTATTTTCTACGGTTGCGGATATGTGAAATATTCGTGCGTCGGTTGTTCCGCGATAACCTGGTTTGTCGTACGAGTACCGCTCCCCTCGTTCGACACGTTGGCGTTTCCCGAATTATTAACGTTCCTACTTTCATCGTTTCTCTTTTTGTAACATGAGTCGATTTTATGACCGGTTCGATTACAGTATGAACATGTAACAACCTGTATATTATGATTCGTTGGCGGTTGCGTAAAATTATTCCTATTAGGTTCACGGTTGTTATTGCCGTTGCTCGCATAACTAGGTCTCGAATTATTCCTACATTGAGATGCATAATGATTACCATTACAATTATAGCACTTTATAACTGGCCTACTGATTGGTTGAGAAAAATTGTTAATTATTTGTTCGTGCAAAACTATTTGTCCTTACAGGGTTATTTGGTCTAATGTTTCCGTTGTTTCTATTTTCGTAATTCGGTCTGCGCTGATTATAATTTTGTGAATAGTTATTCGGATAACTGTTCCTATGCATATGACTTTCCCTTTCTAATTTTAGTTCTACCTGTTCTGACTTTGCTAATTGTTTCGCGATCTCCAAAGTCATGGGATTACGAGATTTTACTTTTGTCCTAATCGGTTCTACTAGTCATTTAATAAATATCGCTAGAGTCTGTTCCTTTAATTTTTCATGTATAATTTTTGCCTAATGTACTTACAGTACATAAATGGTAATATAGTTTCTCTACTCTATGACAATAATCATTTACATCCTCATTTTGATACATTCGAATGGAATTTAACTGAATCTGTAAAGATGATGCCGTGGTCGTTAAATAAGTTTTTATATACTGCCATTTCGATACATTTTTGTATTTAATCATTTCTAATACTCTACCCGTTAAACGTGTGGTAATATATTTTACTAATGTTGGTGAACTTTCTGCATCGACTAAGATTACTGCCATATCGCATGCATTTATGAATTGATAGATATCGTCTATTCCTGTGCATAGTGGAATTAATTTAAAAGAGTCCTCTAATTATATGACTACCATTTTTTTAGTGCGTGATTTAGTTAAAAATTCTAATGCCTGATGTTCAAAACTAGCTGTAACTTGGCTACGTGTGACTACTCCTGGACTTGGGTTTCTACTTGCGCTATATCCTAACTGGGTTTCTACTATAATATTCAACTGGGCTTTCTGTTGGGCTTGAGCTTCTTCCTGGGCTACTAACTGGGCTTCTTCGTTTACACTAGTGTCATACAATGAATTAGCTACGTTCAAGGGAGATGTACCTACTTTGTCCATAAATTACTTAGCTACCTGTTTAATACGTTAATACTCATAATTATAATATTCAAAATGCCCTTTAAA